TGGAAAGCACGACAACGTTAGGTGAGTATACTGTGTGTCCCTCTCTTTTGAGTAGCCTGTCGCTTTTTGGGCCTAAAGGCGGCTCGCAAATTTGCTGATGTGGGTAAGTGGTGGTTTCTCAGGCGCCAGTGGCCAAAACACATCTTTCCGGACCTTGATACTGAGCGCAGATTTGCCGTCACAGCGAGCTGACGGGAACTAGATGTCACCATAACAACCGGTATCGGTCCTATCCAAGCGCATCGATTTCTTTTTTCAAGATCAATGTTGTAACACTGCGTCATCGAATCTTAAACATTATAATGTTTGCTACATCCAGTACCTACATGGGCGATTGCTTGAGTGCCTTCGCCGAGGTGGGTCGCTGGGAAAAATCTCTTCAGGATTGACTTCATACCCCTGTAAATTTTATTTCCATTTAATCTTAAAATTCAGCAGGATGAGTAGTCCGTAACACATCTGAAACCTTCTCAGCATTATGGTGTTATTCAGTCCGTGATGGGAAGAATCCTGTCACCTTTTGGACAGTCTGTTCCGCCCAGAACTATTTGATAACTGGCGAGGATATTCAGAAACCCCATTTTAAGCTGCCGCACAGTGGGGTAGCTTTTCTTTGCAGTAATAAAATTGTGGACTAACGTGAAATGATGCTAAGACTTTCATTGTCAGATCTAGCGTATATGAATATCGTTGTGGGATTAAAATATTTCCTTATCTTTGCCCCAACACATCACTGTTGGAGTGGATCGTCCGCAGCTGTATTATACAACCGCAAAATATACAGCAACTAGGCTATTTCATGAAATGTTAATTGAAGTTCTAAAATCATCTTCCTATCAGAAAGGCATACTTGGGTGGGGATGCAATCCTGTTTATCATACTGCAAAGCCCAGAAAATTTCTGACATAATAGGTTGTCGGCCTTTAAATGAGCCCTTTGCTAAGCAAAGACTACTCTCGATAGTAATGAATACTTAAGTAGTTATATTTTGCACGTTGACATTTGATATCCCCTTATAACCAAATGTACTAAATATAAAATAGGAATATAATAATATTTATTAGACTTATGTGGTTGCAGATTGTCTCCTTCGGTTTTCGAAAAAGTCTTTAGTTCCCGAGTAATTTTAAGTTAAATTGGAAGTTGTACTCACGCTTAGAGTTAAAAATCCACATGCTGTGTACTTTCTGCATAGGAAAATTCATATATTTCTACATGTTATTAGAAGACTCAAAAATACCGTAATTTATATAGGCCACGATGTTTCGTTCATAAACAGCATTAATAAAGAAAGTGATACGATACCCTGAGAACGGTCAGTTCATGGTTTTGAAAAATCCAATAATTTTAAATTTTTCCTAAGCCGCATGGTACATTATCCTTAAGTAGATACTTGAAAGGAGATGCTATATGCTACGGAATAAATACACAAACAGACAAATAATTAAATGTAGAATGACATTAGATGGCAGTATATGTTAATTTAGGAGGTCATCGAAAACCGACGTGAACAATGCACAATCCTTTTTACAAAGCGTCCTTTCTATTGGCGTTCGCAAATAAGCGCAGTCCTAAGCCGACATCCTATTTTGACTGAACGATTTAAGGATTATACTGTGGTGTACTCAGTACCACCGTCGTACCTACATAATCCTCTCGCGTTTGAAACACATTTTAGAGTTCTTTTGCCGAGCGGCTGATAGATTATATCTGTTGGCGGCGTCACGTTGCCAGCAAACTTTGCTCTTCCTGGCAAACCACACTGGCAAATTCACACACAGCAATGCGGTGATCCTGTTCTGCCTTTTATCAAATTTCATTATCACGACGGACTGAATTAGAACGTGAAAGTCGGTTAACGGAATGCATATTGTCGTGTCCGTAGTCAGTATTTCGGTTCGACTGAATATGCGAAAATCAAGCTGCAATGACTCCTTTTTAATTATGCCTCTAGAGCAATCTGTTTGAGATCAGAGACATTCCCATAGAAGCCTAGATAAAGTCATGCACTTTACGTGCTTAGACGGACATCGAATCGATGTGAGTTGGGGAGGAAAGAGTGTTGTGTTTGCAAGTAGAGTACACTCGCAGGAGCAGGTTATCGGTGCGGCACAGACTCCATGAGGCACACATCGAACGTCACTGTCGAGTTCGGTGCCAAGAAAAGACAGTGTTTTCGAAATTTGAAACAGGCAACTC